AACCACCATGGAAGAAATCCAAAGCTTTCTCTCTCTAGTTTCTCTCTCTAGGGTTAACTCTTAACTCAATAACCAAAATATTACTGCCACCTTGATGACGACTAAGGCTATTTTTCAAAGTCACACAGCGGAAGACTAAAAATAAAAAGTAACTTTCAAAATAAAACTTGAGTTCACAACCTCAAAACGAAAGTAAAATTAAATGTTCACAAGTTAGAACCAATCCAAACTTGGCCCTTTTAAAACTAACTTAAAAATCAAACATAACAACGTTAGTCAATAATCAATATACCAATAACTCAAAACATAAAACTAAGAAAGCATAACAAGTAACTCTCTGCACTCATTCCCTTCATGCTCTTCATGCTTCAAGCACCTATCACTTTCTCTTTATTTCAACCCCTCTACTCACCATATAAATGGGTCATAGTAGAGCCAATCCAAAGGAAGTCAAACACAAACACAAAAGTACGAATCAGCAAAAGATGAGTACATATGCACCACACTAATATGAATATCCTAGCATCAATAAAATAATTAAAACATGTTCACCATACAATCATAAGTCAACTTACCTTTGACTCATATTAACAATATTAATTAATAAATAATAACTTTGGATTACACATCGAATGGGTTTCCTTCCTTGAAAATAGCTCATTTAAATATTGAGCTTCCAATTAGGGAGCTACCCCAATTGGCACCTACTATGTCACACTTGTGACGAAATTCTAGAGCATTAATAATAAAAGAAAGTACAGTGCCCTGTACCCCTGTATAAGCTATAGTTAAATATAAAACGCCATAACTCCCCCCATATGTTCATACTTCAGGTGTATACGTTCCAAGAGTTTTGGTGCGTATCCTCTTACACTTTACGTGATTTACCAATTTAACTTGTGATGACTCCAACCAATCAATAAAGAACAAACATAATAACAATCAACATGTACTTCCAATTAATTCTTCAATTAATTAGTGAGCGCATACTATTTATTTTAATTAAGGTTCCTAGCCTAGTTTTGTGCACAAAATTGTACGATTACTATCTTGGTGCATAAGATGCACTACTAAACTTACTTGACTCAAACTCAACTTATATGAGTGAGTAAATAATCAAACTAGCTTCTTGACTCAACACCAATAATAAATAGGTGAGAAATAAAATCATGAATCATGCTCAATAATTCTAACTTTAGCTCTTTTAAACATACATAAGCCTTGCTTATTAAATTCATGTTTTCTTGATACTTGAAAATAAAACATACTCCCATGATTCATACATATTCAACTTGTATCATGCCTCAAATAACATATTCACATGTTTGCATAATAATTCATGATCAACCATCATCAAATCCAACCATATAATCAACCAAACATGCTACTAATTCATCACTTGAACACACTTCATATTCCTAGCATGATACTACGCATACACAATTAATCTCATGCGCATACGTACCCTGAATAATGCCTAAACTCGGCCACACTTGCTAGAAATCACCTAGCTCAAAGCTTCATACAAATAAGAATACATAACTTAATTAATCCATTATCCTCACAAATTTCAAGCAACTATAATAGAATTTAAACCTTACTAATTAACCTTACTAATTTAATGGTTTAAAAGCCATAAAACATTTTCTTTAAGTGGGTACTTTAAATCATTTCAAAAAGACATTGTTTTCATGACTTAAATAAAATTCCTGCATACTTATTTAATGTAAAACATCAGCAATAGACTAGGAAATTAAAACATATTTAAATCATTAAAACCTTTTTCCTTTTTATGGGTAATCAAACCCTAACACAATAATTAAAAAGTAGTGTGTGTAATTAAATTCCAACATTAAATTGAGGGCTTAAAACTCATAAGAAACATATTTATTAAATCATTCATTTAACAATCACAACAACCTAGGATCAAACGCTAACCATAACATTAAATTCCCAAATTCTAGGGTTTGTAAATTGGGGTTTTTGAATCAATTAAAATCTTGAAATTATAGGATTAATTTAACAACATCAAATGCCCAAAATCAATACCAAAATATAATAAAAAAAATCATGCTTTAAATAAATTAAAAAAACTAGAATTATATTAGGAGAAAGAAAGAGTTTTTTTTTTCTTGTACCAAACCGAAAAGAGGGAAGAAAGAGAGAGGACGTGTGGCGTACGGCTGCTACCGCTGCTCCTAGGTGGCTCACTGGTGATTGCCAATGATGGTGGTGGCGCCAGTGGTCGATGAACGTGAGGGGAAAATGAGAGAAAGAGAGGCGTGGGAAGAGAAAGAAAAAGAGAGGGAAAAGGAGAGAGAAAATAGGAGGAAAACTTTTGTGGTTTTTATGAAATTTAACAATTATGATTTGCAAGTGTAAAATTCGTGGGGTTTTAAGGTATTTATACTCCTCTTTTAAAACCAAAAACACTTATTTACCAAAACTGTCATTACTAATCCTACTTCCCCTTAACTTCACCCTTAAGACTAACTGTTGGAGTCTTAAGTGTCCTTAAATTCCCAACAAGTTGATCCAACAATATAATAATGATGACCCAATTCAAAACACTTTTATTGCCTCAATTAATGACTCACATTATTTTATACACACCTGTACAATATTTAAATAATTAATTCCTTAAAATGAAATGAATCATTTTAATTTATAAAAATAAATAAAATAAATAATTTATATATATAAAAATATTATAAAAATACAGAGTTTTACAATTTTCTCTAATTTTTCTTAAGTTAGAGATAAATTTGTAAGGGATAGTGCAAAGGCGATTTTGGGGTTGATACTACCAAAGGAAAGGTCTGATTACGTAATGTACTGGCCTAATCACCCATTTGTGGAATAGATAGTCAAAATAGGGTATGGCTTTCTTTCACCAAACTTTCTCTCAAATTCAGGATCCAAGTCATCGTATGGAAACTTTTGATATTTTAAAGATTTTATGGAGACTTCATATTCCCCTAAAGTGGAGTATTTTCATTTGGAAAGTCTTTTATGACGCCATCCCTACGAAAGAGAAACTCATCCAAAGAGGAATGCAAATTAAATGAGTGAATTATGTGACTATTGTGGTATGGAATGTGAGTATTCGCAACACATCTTTCAATTTTGTAATTTGGCAAGTTTTTCGTGGAGTAATTCCCGCTTAAGTATTATCCGTGCAATCAATGAATCCATTTCTATCTCCTTAAGAAAATGGATTCAAACCTATATCTTGTTTTTTGTACTACGGATGTAAAGAATTTATAGTACAACAATAAATACCTTTTATTGCAACACTGTGGGGCCGATGGATCACAAGGAACCAACGACTGTTCAAAAGGGTCAATGGTGGAATTAACACATTGAAGAAGCATTACAAAGTATGCATGATTACAACAAGCCAGACTACCTTATTTAGGAATTTAAAATTTTGTAGGCCACAGATACAGGAACAACCAGGTTCTACCAAGCACACATAGGAAAAGAAAAAATTATTTGCAGCGCTAGTACGGGCTCTGCCCAATTGTACTTTAGAGAGAAGAAATGAAACGTACGGTTTAATTGGATGGTCTACAAGGTTAATGAAGGGATTTTTTGATGTAGGAGCAAGTTTTGCTTTAAAAACTTTGACCTTGCACGAGGAGGCTCAATCATGTCTTGAGGCCTTGAAATGGTGTTCTGCAATGGGATTTTCAAAGGTTCTCTTATACTCTGACTCGATGAACTTGATAACATTTCTATGTAAAGGCAAAATAAATGACATAAAAGTCTTTTGGACGGTTCATGAAATTAAGAAACTGGGAATGGATTTTCAATGTTGTAATTTCAAAGTAGACATGGAACAAGTTCAAAGGGCACACCAGCTTGCAAATGATAATCACAACAGTTTAATAAGTTTTTCTTTTACTTTGTAATTTGTGTCTCTTTATGATAATGTATTTCAAGAAAAAAGTCATTACAAAAGCTTACAAAACTAGTATAATACGACAAAAAGATGACCACAATAATTTTAAACTCATATATAACTGATAAATGAGTTTAACACGAGTTATTTCAAGGTGATAAATAATTCAATCAACCAACTTAATATTACTATTTTGACCTTTTTTTCCTAGTCTGATCAATTCATTACCTATAGATTGTGACAATAACTCAACTTAATTGCATATATATATATATATATATATATATATATATATATATATATATATATATATATATATATACATACATATATATATATATATATACATACTTGTATCACAAATTTCTCAATCAAGCTTAACTGTACAAAACTAGCATAATATGACGAAATAACACGTTAACATAGCTATATCAAACTCATACCAAATAAACGAGCTTACCAACAGCTATTACAGAATCATTTGACATAAAAGTCAATCTAGGTTTTTACCTATTCAGTCATAATAAAAATCACCATCTAAATTAAAATTACGATATCGGATTTGAGCCAAATCTTTTCAAATCACATTAGTTTATCAAGAGTTATTTCAAGGTGATGAATTACGATGTTGATTTTAACTTGTTTTTTTTCCTAGTCTGGTCAATTTACTAACAGTAGATTGTGACAAGGAACATAACGTAATTGCATACATATCCCTCTATCACAAATTTCCTACTCATGTTTAACTGTACAAAACCAGCATAATACAACAAAATAACACGTTAACACAGCTATTTCAAACTCATATCAGATAAATGAGCTTACCAATAGCTAATACTGATTCATTTGACATAAAAGTCAAGCTAGGTTCTTACCTATGTAGTCATCATAAAAATCACTAGCCAACTCAAAATACTATATAGGATTTGAACCAACTCTTTTCAAATCACATCCGTTTAACAGCTCTACAACACAACATCGGTTTATTTTTATTTTTCTTATTGGCAAAGAAAACAACATTATTGACACATGTAATGAGCTAAGCTATCAAATAAAACACAAACCCCTCATGAAACAAATGTGTCAAAAAAAAAAACCCTAAAAATATTTCGATTGTCTTTAAAACCTTACACGAGATACTCAGTCTAAACTATACAAAACTAGCATAATACGACAAAACAGCTATTTCAATCTCACATCTGATAAACAATCTTACCAATAGCTACTACTATATCATTTGACATAAAAGTCAAGCTAGGTTATTACCTATTCGGTCGTCATAAAATCACCAGACAACTCATATTTACAGTATCGGATTTGAGACAAATCTTTTCAAATCACATCTATTTAACAGCTCTATAACATAACATCGATTATAATTTTCCTTTATTTTATTTTACTTATTGGCAAAGAAAACAACATTATTAACACATGCAATGACCTAAGCTATCAAATAATACACAAAAACCCTCATAAAACAAATGTGTTAAAAGTAAATGCAAAAAAAAAAAAACAACCCTAAAAAACTGATTTTATTGTCTTTATAACCTTACACGAGATACTCTCCACATTAACTCCCTTCACATTTTCTACCCTTCCTAAACTCTCATTGGACATACACACAACCCCCTTCCTTAGCGCGTGATACCCTTCACACTTCCCACCACCTTTCTCCTTTGTTTAAATAAATCTTGATTCTCCTCTGATAGCAACCCCTCATTCATTTCCTACCTTTTTTCACCCCACCCCCTTCTTCTCTCTCTTCTTCCTCGAACCTTCAATTACTTATACAACTTATGACTTCTTCTTCCTTCACCAATTTTGAACAAATCAAACATTTGATTTTTTGAACATCACCAACAAAATCAACCCTTGTTTTTGTTCGTTATTGGTTTCGTGTTATAATTATAACTCGATTCCTTTGTTTCATTTAGCGTTCTTGTTCTCCTCCAATTAGTCGTTTTTTTTCCTTTCATCATGTGTATAAATATTTTATACATATAGTATAGTTTTCATTTTTATTTTATCATATCAATTTCAATTCATTATCAAACCCCTTCTTCAATCTCCTTCCAATGAATCCACCACCACAACCGGCGTCGTCCCGCGCTCGACGACGCCCCGACTTAACCCTCCCCCTCCCTAAACGAGACCCGGCTCTCGCGGTCCCGCTTCCGCTTCCTCCATCCTCCGCACCTACATCCACTTCTAACTCAACCAACTCGAATTCTTACTCGAACACGAACTCAGCCGCCATATTGAGCTTTTCCGAGTTAGAGCGGAAGAACCGGATCGGGTCAGGTGCCGGAGGCACAGTCTACCAAGTAATCCATCGCCCATCGTCTCGGATCTACGCTTTGAAGGTGATATACGGCAACCTCGAAGAGGTGGTGCGCCGTCAGATCTGCCGAGAGATCGAGATCCTTCGTGATGTCGATAATCCTAATGTCGTGAAATGCTTTGATATGTTTGATCATAACGGGGAGATCCAAGTTCTTCTCGAGTACATGGATCGAGGATCGCTTGAGGGAAAACATATAGCTGATGAAACGTATCTTGCCGAGTTATCTCGGCAAGTTCTTTCCGGTTTAGTGTATTTGCACAGAAGAAGAATCGTTCATCGAGATATCAAACCCTCTAATCTTCTAATCAACACCAACAAACAGGTGAAAATAGCTGATTTTGGGGTGAGTAGGATTTTAGCACAAACGATGGATCCTTGTAATTCGAGTGTTGGGACGATTGCATATATGAGTCCCGAAAGGATTAATACTGATCTGAATCAAGGACAGTATGATGGATATGCTGGTGATATTTGGAGTTTTGGGGTTAGCATTTTGGAATTCTATTTGGGTAGATTTCCATTTAATGTTGGTAGACAAGGTGATTGGGCTAGCTTGATGTGTGCTATTTGTATGAGTGCTCCACCGGAGGCGCCGGCTTCGGCTTCGCGAGAGTTTCGTGACTTTATCCGGTGTTGCTTGCAGCGTGAGCCGGCGAAGCGGTGGACGGCGATTCGGTTGTTAGGACATCCTTTTATTGTTCAGAATACAGCTGCTACTCAGAGTAGTCAGATTGGTAGTCAGAACCACCAGGTTCATACTTCTCTCCGTCAAATGTTGCCCCCTCCCCTCCCTCATTCATCATAATTTTCCTTTTTTTTTTTTAAAAAAAAAAAAATTTAAGTTAAAGTTAAAGAAGTCTGTTTTTTTAATGCAATTGCAAGTTTTCTTTTTTTTTTTTTATGTTTTTTTTTTTTTTTTTTTTTTTTTTTTTTGTATTTTAAATATGATGATGATGAGGATGATTAAGGAGGAGGATGAAATCGGGGTGAAATTGTTGTAGCTGATGTTGTGATTCTGATGAAACTAAAAAGAAATTAATCATCAGTTATTGTAGCTTTTTCAATTGGATTTGGATAGTGTTGATTCTTCAATGGTACAAGAAGATATGAGAAATTGTCTTATTTTCGCCATTATTAATACAACTTGCTCTCTTATCAAATTTGGTTTGCAATTGTTGATTCTTTGCTAATTTGGGGTAAATTATTTTATCATTTAAGTTCTTATTATATGAAATGTTGTTATTTTTGCAGTGATTGTGTATATGTTACTACTATTTATGATTAGTGGAAGAGAATGTATTGGTTGTTTTAGGTTACTCAAGTCCTAATTACTTGTGTAACCTTGGAAAATTGTCACTATTGTGTTTTATCTAAGGACTGGGAGAATTAATCAAATTTGGGAAGATTGTGTTGACTGTTGGGTTGGGTGAGATCGAATTGTTTATGTGTAGTTTGCCTTCAACGAGAAAAAGACTGAAGTTAATGTGCTGGGGTTTTTTCATTTTTGTCAACTGATGTCGTAAGATTGTTTTTGCTGAGTGCAAATGATGTGAGTATTACGTATCTCATGGCGAATAAGCTAAGTAGATAACTCTGTCTCGGAATTTTAGTCTACTCTTGCTCACTCTCGTGTCTCCTCAAAACATTCCCCTTGTGCAATTGTGAATAAGCAGATAACTCTTGTCTCGGATTTTTAGTCTACTCTTGCTCACTCTTGTGTTTCTTCAATACATCCCCTTGTGCAATTGTGAGTTTTAGGCACGTCATGGCAATCATGGGTAATACCAATTGAAGAAGAGCAAAATTCAAACGAATTTTGTTTCTTCTTGTATATTTGAAGTCTGTTGTTCATGACAGGATTGCTGATTCGCGATCTCTTTTGTGAATTTCAATCTCCTAACAATACTCTGAGTACTTATTTGTGGTCTATCTATGATCATCATCGATCATAGATAGACCCTTTACCATTCTGCACAAATGGGGTATTCTATTTGTACAGATAGGGAGACACAACAAGAAACCATCACTGCCCCTTTTCTTTCAATAACTTGTAAACCCTAGACAAAAAACGCACGCCTCCTCTTCAGACGAGCCAAGTGGCGGACTCACTTCGATCATAAAAGGAAGAAGGTTTGAAGTCTGATATGCTTTTCAAGGCAGCTTCCCCCATTCCAAGTGCAAATGTTGTGCTTCATATATTGGGAGCTGCACCACCTGGGGTGCGAGCCACCTGAAAAGCAAGGCAATTCTCCTCTAGGGCTTCTTAATTAAGAAAAGGAAAATATGAGGGGATTCACCGGAGAAGATCCTTCTCCTTCCCTTTCAACGATTCGACGCGCTCCCCTAAGCTAGACGCTTTACCTACCTGAATACCTCTGAAGGCTTGGAACTTAACTCAATGCTGGGTTGACTGCAGGGAAGCTTTACTTAAGTGGATTCGCCTAACCCTTTCAATGACCTTTATGATAAGCCAGTCCGGAAGGAAGGAGGAAGGGGCGCTTTAGGAGGCATCCGACCCAAATAAACTACCCAACTCGCAGTGTCCTGCCTTCCCCCGAATGATCGGTCTCACCCTTATGCTTGTACCCTCATATCAAAGCAAACGGGGCCACGCCTATCAATAAGAGGCGTATGCTGACTCTTCTTTCCGGTAGGACTTCTACTTCTCAATCCGTAGTCGAGCCATAAGTGGAAAAGGCATTGTAGCAGTTTTGTTTAACGAAGGAGCAGCGATAGCTTCTAGCTAGTTCAGTGGATAAGATGGTTGCGCTCCAGCAAACTCAAGAATGGGACAACCTTTTTCCGCCTTTCGTCTTTCCAGTCAAGTTGTAGCAGCATGAACAATCTGGTTTTCCCCTTCCTTACTCGCTTTGTTCTTTAGTGTCCAAGCTCTTTTCGAGAGAGCAACCCTTCTTTTCGACTGGGAAATGCGAGTTTTTTTTTGGCTGACCGGTGATTACTAGCGATTCCGGCTTCATGCAGGCGCTCAAAGGTCTTTCCTTGTGTGCCCAGAATAGATATTATCGTTGTCTTAAGAACGAGCTATGGTAGTACAGACTCACTTTTTTACGAAATAACGGCCACCTGTGGGACCGACTTCCGACCAGGAAGTACCGGCAGCTACTCGGTAGCACGAACTTCTTTTTCTCTCTAGATCATGCAAAGGGTGCTAGTCCAAGATCGTACTCTTCCTCTACAAAGAGAACAGACGCTCTCAACGGCTAGGCGCCACTCTCTTTGGTTATCCATAAAGAGAAAGAAAGCTTTCTTGTAGTTCCGCCCGAAAATTCGATTCTGAAACGTAAATTGACTTGGACTCGAGGGAGACAACACAGGGCAAAGCAAAGGGCAGAGCTTCGATAGCCCTAACAAGTCACTAGAAGCTCCTTTGGCGCGCCCTAGCCGAGCGGTCCTCGCAGGAAACTTGCTTTGCTCTCTTTTTAGTGCTATGCATGGTCTATTACTTCTGGATTCTCTTAGGTTAGAAAAAGAATTCCCATAGAAGAGGATGCCTTTAGCTTCTGGTAGTTCAATCTTACCTTTGTAGAACATTCTTTGATATAGAATTTAGAACAATATTTTGCGTACTTATTTGTCAAAAACTGCTGCACATATGACATATTATGTTGGTCGAGTACACTTTTTTATTGCATTATGTTTTTTGCAATATGGTAAAGCGACTTTATTATATAAACTGAACAATTTTGAGACAATCCAAAATTCTAAAGTGACAGAATTGTTGAAATTTTCAATTTTCGTTTTGATTTTGAAATTTAGAATATCTAATTTGAAATGCTAATTAAAGTTAACGTGACACACTGATTATAATTTGTATTGAATGAAACAAAAGTAGGAGCTCTAATTTTTGAATTTTTACTTTTTATTATTAATTTATTCTAATAATATTATTTTTATTCATTACTTAGATGTACTGTGTTATAACATGGAATATACTCCGTATTACATACTTGAAATGGAAATGGTATTGAAACTTGAAAGTTCTGGGAAGTAATAAGAATTTACTTAGTATATGTTTTTCTAAAAAAAATGGGATTGCACAACAATGGAAAATGAGTTTTTAAGGATTTGGATGAAAGTAAAATAATACTTCCTATTGTTATTATGATAATTCATCACTTCGTATGATTTAAATATTTATTTATTTATTTATTGATGTATTATTGTTATTAATCTGTATTATTGAAAATGTTCATTTATTTATTTATTGGCTTTGTGTGTGTGGGGTGATGTGCCAGACTGACATGGATCTAGGAAAAGATTTGGGACAAGTATGGAAGTGGGGGAAAATATGTTAGGTTGCTTTTGCTTTATAAAGTTACATTGGGAAAAGGGGGTTTTCAATCAGCAGTTATTGGCTTATAATTGATGATATAGAATCAACTTTAGCGGACACTTAAAAATCTTCTTTTAACTCAACTCAACTCTTAAGGTGATATGGAATAGAAATGGAGAAGTATTGGGGCATAGGGTATGTGCCAATGAAACAAATACGATGATATTTTTTTAAATAATGAGAAAATAAGAAAAAATAGTGGTGGAAAATTTGATGGCAAAAACAACTATTTTATTCATAATGGTACATTAAATTTACCACTGTACCATTAAAAGAGAAAAAAAATAATAAAAATTCAGATTACCCTTTTATATGCATGTGAAACATATAGGCCCTATGCGCCTAGATGCACTCGTAGAAAAATTTCATACTCCATAGTAAATTTTTATCATTTTATTAAGTATTTAGGATAGCAAGTAATCATAAGAAAATTATTCAAGTAACTTTTTAGAAAAAAAGAAGATAAAGAATAGTGCTTAAAGAGGTATTACACATAATCCTGAAAGATTTTACTTCGTATTTGCTTTGTGTTTTAAGATAACTTGCATAAAGCGGATTTGATTGTGTTGGTAGACTACCGATAGAAAATAATGATTGTGGTTCTCGTCTTTGTTCTCACATACTAGTATGTTAAAATTTGTTCTTTGTAAGGTATAACTTTATAAGTCTATTATATTATACATGGATTTGGACAAAGGGTTGATTATACACATTGATTAGATTAATGTAAAACCCAATTGTTTAAAGGATTTGGAAAAATTGATAAAAATAATCTCAACTTTTACCAAATCTGATGCGTATTCAAGGCATCAATATCATCATTTTATTATTTTTATTTATTTTTATTGAGTCGTCTCTTAATCATGAGGTTGAGTGGCGTCAATCCTAAAGTTACGCGTGATTAATCGAATTAGAGTTGGAGTAGAATTAGTAGTTTGATAAGATATTATTTTCTAATATTATTAGAAGATAAATTTTGTTATTTAGGATTAGTATTTAGTATTTATATCTTATATATTTTATTTTATCTTTTAGTTATCCTAAAGGCATGGGATGTTTGCCTATAAATATTCTTTATTTTCATTTATGAAGGGAGAGAAGTTTTGAGTTATAATTGATCAATTCGTATAAATTGTTTTAGCAAGAGAATTGCATATGATATTTTGCTGAGAAAGCTACCAATTTAGTTGTTATTTAGTCTTGGTTAGATTAAATAGCTCCATATCCTAGTTACAATTTGATCTTGCATAGATTTAATTGTTCCATATCCTTTAGATTTAGTCCCTTTATCCTAAAATTGTGCAAAGTCTAAAACTATAATCCATCTAAGGTCGAAATTTTAGTGGAGCCCATAAAAATACGCATTAGGTTCGCTCAAAATAATCCCAACTTTAGATTATTTATAAATAATCCGAACTTTGGGGGTCATTCGCCCAAAATGATCCCAACCGGTCACCTAACCTGTTATATCAAGTTAATGTGACACGTGTTATCACATGATTAGTTAAAAAAAGAAAACCTTAAAAAATAAAGAAAAAAAATTCAAAAAACAAAATAAAAAATCAACCCAGCCACCAACCACCTTACTACCACCCTCTCTCCAGCCCGTCGCACCTCCGGAGCCCCCAACCACTGTCGTAGACCCTACCTCACACCGGCGCCGGCACCTAGACCATCCCTGATACTTCCAAGTTTGTAACCCCCAATACTTCCAGTAAATTGACAATCCAAGTGAACTCTGATGTTGCAGCAGCCATAGCTCTATACTCTGCCTCAGCAGATGACTTGGATATTGTGCCTTGTTTCTTTGACTTCCAAGATATTGGGGAACCCCCTAACAGCAACACAAAACCACTAATAAAACGTCTGGAATCAAGGCAGGATGCCCAGTCTGAGTCAGAGAAAGCCTGTAGTTTACTAGTTTAAGCTCATCAGAACCCTTGAGTAAAATGCCTTGCCCAACTATACTTGCAAAATATCTCAGAGTATGAACTAGAGCATCAACATGTTGAAATCTGAAAGCTACAGAAACTTACTTAAAGTCTGTACAGTGTAGGAAAGATCAGGTCTTGTTTGGGTCAAGAAGTTGAGCTTTCCTACCAGTGATCTGTACTTTTCTGCATCAGGAAATACATCACCTTCAGTAGCAGAAAGTTTCAAATGCATTGGCAATGGAGTGACTGCTCTTTTGTCAATGTTGAAACCGCAACCTTGCAGCAATTCTCTTGTGAAATTTTTCTGAGTGAGGATTACACCATCTGCAGTATACCCTACTTCAATCCCCAGAAAATAGTTGAGTGTGCCTAGATCCTTGATGCTGAATTCTTGATGCAAATGCTTCTTCAAGTCCTCTAATTTTGCAACATTTGTCCCAGTAAGGATCACATCATCAACATATACAGAATCTATGTTGATATGTGATTCATATCTATGTATAAACAGGCTGTAATCATGCTTGCACTGAAAAATCCCTTCCTTGTCAAAGATTGCATCAACTTCTCATACCATTGTGTTGATGCATGTTTTAAGCCATATATAGACTTAACTAGCCAGCACACTTTGTTTCCTGGATTAGAAACACCTTTAGGGACTTTCATGTAGACTTCCTCTTTCAAATCTTCATGCAAAAATGCATTATTTACATCCAATTGAAACAAAGGCCAATTTTTGCTAGCTGCTACTGCTATTAAACATCTGACTATACTCATCTTCACAACTGGGATGAATGTTTCTTCATAGTCTATCCCATACTCTTGATTGAATCCCTTAGCAACTAGTCTGGCTTTGCATCTTTCTAGGCTTCCATCAGCTTTCAACTTCACCTTATAAACCCATTTGCAACCTATGGGCTTCTTTCCTGCAGGTAGATCAACCAGTTTCCAAGTGTTGTTCTGTTCCAGAGCCAATATCTCTTTGTTCATTGCTTCCACCCAAAGTGGATATTGAGAGACCTCATAATAGTTTAAGGGCTCTTTTATATCACAAGAATGAGATAGAAAAGCCTTAAACTCTTGGGGAAAGGAGTTGAACGAAACAAAGTTGCACCAATGTTTCTCATGCTATATATTGTCAAGAGTAAAATCTGCATTGTAGCAGTGATATTTATCCAAGTAGGAAGGTGGTTTATGAGGTCTTGAAGATTTTCTAGGTTGATCTAAAGTAGGATCACTTAAATAAACTAGAGAATTAGGAATGATAGGCTCATGAGAAGTATGAGGTGGGTCTGAAGTAGAAGAAAATTAAAATGGGATAAATCTGTATCAGAAGAGGAATGAAAGGAAGGAGAAGAAGAAATGTTTGTATTTGGAGTAGGAGAGTAGGGAGAAGAAATAGAAGTTGAATCAGAGTCATGAGAAGGAAAATATTGGTGTGGAAGGGTAAAATCAGGAATGTCAAAGTGAGGGGGAGAGGAAGCGGCAGGTAAGAAGATTGCATTTGAATAGTTTAAAGTGGGTTGATTTTTCTTGGTGTAAAGGTGATAAGGGAAATGTTTCTCATGAAAAGTGACATCTCTAGAAACAAACAACTTGTTTGTATCCAGATCCAACACCCTGTAACCTTTTTGAGACACTGAATACCTGAGAAAGACACATGGTTTTGCCCTGCTATCCATTTTTGTTCTACCAACTTTAGAAGTGGACACATAACATAAACACCCAAATGTTCTGAGATGATAGATATCAGCATTTTTCTAGTACAGTCTAAAATAAGGGGTATCAAAATCTATAGCTCTCAAAAGAAATTGTTAATCAAATAGGCTGCACATAACACACTCTCACCCCAAAATCTGTCAGGAACTCTGGACTGTATATACAAGGCTCTTGTTGTCTCTAGAAGGTGTTTATGTTTTCTCTTAACTACTCTATTCTACGGCTGGGGGTATCACTACAACTTGTTTGACTCAAAATACCCAACCTGAGATACAAACTCTTCATTTCTCCATCACACAGTTCTCTAGCATTATCAGACCTCACATATTTGACAACAACTCCAAACTGATTTTTAACCATGTTCAAGAAATCATTCATCACTACAACTGCATCACTTTTACCTTTCAACATATGAATCCAAGTAAATTTGCTAAAATCATCCACTATTGTCAAAAATTGATTACAACCAGTTGGAGTTTTCACAGAATGTGGTCCCCATACATCAATGTGTAACAACTCAAATTAAATGGAAAAGTAGTCTTAATACTACTAGTAGGAAAACTAAGTCTAGTTTGTTTTGCAGCTGGACAAACTTGACATATAGTGTCCCATATACAAGCTTTCACATTACAATATGGTTTTATGTGTTTTATTTGAGAAAAAGGTAAGTGACCTAATCTAAGATGCCAGAGTTTTGCATCTTCTATTTCAGACAAACAAGCTGCATTGCAAAGATGAACTTGTAAGTCTTGTGAGCTTGACTGAATCTGATCTCCCACATTATACAATCCAGACTTCACACTACCAAGAGGAATAAATATCCCTTTTTGAGAATAGGCAAAACATTTATCATGAGTGAAATGCAGCTCACAGTTCAAATCCTTGCACAACTTATGAACAGAAATCAAGTTGTACTTAAAATCTGGAACATGTAACACATTATGCAGAGTTATAGCATCATTCAACACCATAGAACCAATGTGTTTAACAGCAATTCGACTTCCATTTGGTATGGTTATGAAGTTACCACTATTTTCTACTGACTATAAGCAGAAAATTGAGACAGATCACAGCAAAAATGGTCTGAAGCACCACTATCAAGCAACCATTTCAAGTTTGTATGAGAGAGTAATCAATGTTACCTGCCATCATGGCAAGGTTATTCTGCTGTTCTGGCACTGAAGTCTAAGAAGTCTGCTGTTGTTTTGCCAAATACTCCATGAATCGCTGATATTGATCAATGGTAATAGGTGTAGTAGTGTTCATATCTGTTGCTGAATCTTCTGAGGATGAGAATGCTGCAACTCTGTTGTCTTTAAAGCCTTTAAACCAGGTGGAAATCCTTTGAGCTTAAAGAATCTATCAATGCTATGGCCAGGAATTTGACAATGTGTGCAGTAGTAATTTTCTCCTGGTTTACTGCTTTGCCTTCTGTACTGCATTCCAGAATCATTGCCTGAATAACCAGCTCCATTATTAGGTTTTTGGTACTGTGAATAATATGGCTTGGTTTGACCATATTGATGATCTTTATTGAACCTCCTTTTATCTACTGCATGCCAATGACTCAGTCTTATGAACAGCAGTCTGTGAAATTTCTTTATGCCTCTCTGCCTGTGCAAAGAGTCTGTAAGCTTTAGTGACCTTAGGTAGACTTTGCATCATGAGAATATTTCCTCTGATGGTAGCATATTGATCTGTCAACTTCATCATAAACTGCAAAACCATCTTTTCTTTCTGCCTTTGAAAATCCTTCTTTGTCAGATTACATGTACAATTGTTACATGTACCGTAAGGAAGAGGATGTGCCTCCTCAATTGCATCCCAAACTGATTTGATTTCAGTGAAAAATTCAGAAATTGAATTATCACCTTGCTTAATGTCCACAAGCTTCTGCTCAAGAGAGTAAACTTGAGCCATAGAAGCATATCCAAACCTTTCTTCAAGATCAGTCCAAATTTCTTGTGCTGATTTCAAGAACATCACACTTTTTGCAATTGTATCGTCCAAATTGAACAGAATCAATGAACACACCAGATCATTGCACCTCTCCCACGCCTTACATTCTGCAGTACCAGCAACTGGCTTAGATATAGTTCCATTGAAAAAACCTAGTTTGTTCTTGGCTAAGAGTGTTAGCAACATCGATCGTTTCCAGCTAGTGAAACCTTCACCACTGAACTTGTAAGAAACAAGTTGAACATTTGCATCTGAAGGATGAATGTAGCAGATGCTTGCTGGATCTTGATTTGGTGGAAGAACTATTGCATTTCTTCGAACATCATCATTACCTTGTCCTGCCATTACTGCTGATTATACTGATAACAACTCAAGCTAACAAAATCTGAACAAATTCTGATCAAACAGCTAAGATTTGAATCGAATTTCAGGCAAAAATGAAGAAATCAGTCAAAATTTTCTGGAAAAATTCAGAGGAATAATGAAATTGCAGAACAGAAAACTAAATTAGAATCAAGCGGAAATTTCAGACAATCATCCAGAATCGAATGGTCTGCTCTGATACTATGATAATTTTCTGATTGAAACAATGAAATTGAGAAAAATAGGGAAGAACAGAATTAGGGAAGAACAGAATTAGGGAAGAACAGTTGAGAGAATCTGAGATGAGAGCAAAATAAAATCTGATTTCTGTATTATGTGAATGAATAAGCTTATATCACATTTGAGTATATATAATACAACTTAATAACTCATAATCTTCTACACACTTCTAGAAGAAATAACAGAAATCAAGAAAGTTGTTGTAACTAACTCTGCCAGCTTGTAATAACCATAACAAACTTTTGGAGTAATAAGGCTGACGTGAATACTGTAAACACAGCTATCCAATAGTTACACATTTGAGAAGTACTCCTTCCGTTTTTTTATTAAGTGCAGTACTTTTCTTAATGTATCATTATTTAAGTGAAACAATAATTTAAAAAATGAAAACCTCTGCAAACAAATAGTGTTGGAGGGATAAAAAAATTGGTCTTCATATTTTTGGTTGTGTTGGATAATGTGAGTGAATTAAGATGATTGGTTCAATAATTATATGCTTAATTTTGATCGGCTAATTTGCTTGTACAAGGACTCATCAAAGAACTTGTAATGTTTCTCTAAGGAACTAGACAACACAACATCCAAATGTGATTAATGATTGCGGTTTATGGTTTCAACTTCCTCAAAAAATTAAAAAAAAAAATTAAAAAAAAAAGGAAAAAAAGAACAAAATAAAAAAGAAGTTAGCCAAAAAGGAATGTTGTACTTCATTTAGGAAGTGAGATATTTTTGCTTATTTTGGGATATACAGTAAAACTTTAGGGGGTTCTGTTTCAGTTCGTTGGTACTTGTTAGTTAGTTTTCCCGCCTCTTCACATTTGGTACTTCTCCTATAAAAACCCCTCAAATCATCAAGACTCAAACAAAGAAATTGACTTAATTACACTATCTAAGCACTCCACAACTCAAGCTATCCCTCGTTTTTCTTACTCTTAACAACATGAGAGCTGCTTCCAACTCTCTTGTTATAATTCAAAGTGGGAACACGAAAACCCGAAACAACGTCGCTTGGCCAGAAGACATGAAGTTAAATCCAGACTTATGGACGGAGATATTTCTGAAGCTGCCGGTGAAAACACTTGTACGATTGCGAGACGTCTGCAAATCTTGGCGTTCAGTTATCGATTCCCCTGATTTCATCACAGCACACTGTGAACATTTCAAGAAGAATTCTGACAAGAATCAGTTACTGTTAGTTGAAAGAATTGGGCCTTTACGATTAGGATTCGCAGGACAAGTAATCAGAGTTGTTAATAAACTCACATTTGAGGAAATTTCTCAAATTACTACGGTATCAGAAAATTGCAAGATTTGGGGTGTTTTTGATGGTTTGTTTTTGTACCAAGATTATGATGCTACAATGCATTCGAAGTTGAAGATATGGAATCCCGCTGTTACAAAATCTTGGATACTTCCTGATCCTCCTAGGCAACTTCCTCATCTGCTCGGCCACGACGACAAATTTGTTCTGGGGTTTGATCCTTCTAGTAAAGATTACAAGGTGATTGCATTTAGAAGAAAGGAAGGTGTCGTTGTTAAGAAGTTGTCGTCTAAGATCGCTGTTTATTCACGTAATCTTCGCCTTTGGAAGATCAAGACAGTTAAGGTAAATGAGCCATTTTCGTATTTTGCCGTACTACAGAATCAGCATCATTTCTGTCAGGGGGCTGCACATTGGATAGTGAGTGATGGGGCTCGGAATGATGGCGGATTTGAGTACACCCATGTTCTTTCCTTTGATTTTGGGATAGAGGAATTTCAATGTGTTGAATTGCCTGGGATGGAGATGTTCAAGTGTTTGTTTGTTTTTGGGAAATCTTTAGCAGTATTCGGTATTTCTGCTGAGCGTAGCAGAATATGGATCATGAGAGAGGATGTTGGAGAGGTCGTTCGCGAGAAACCATGGGTTCTGTGCTTTGAAGGAGCTTCGAGTTTAGATGCATATGCCTTCTTCCAACAGAACAAGTTTGCAAAGATTACTTATGATGAGTACACTGGTGAATTTTTCGTGGTGGCTTCGACTAATTCTGAAACGAAACTGATGTCTTATAACATTACAAGCCAACAGGTAATGGCTTTTGTAACTGTTGTTGGTAATCGAAAATGTTGTGCAGATTCTTATGTTGAGAGCTTGGTGACTTTCTAAAGAATTCAATGGATGAAAAGGCATTGAGTGAAGTTCACAGGTACATAAGCAGGACTTCTGTCAACTTACAGAAAGTTTGTCACTTGAAATATTCAGAGTAAATCAATTAGACAGAACAAATTATGTCTTGGAACATTATCTCTTTTGTTGTGATATTAGGACAATTATTGTACTGCTTACATTCCTCAGAATGTCGCGTTAGGTGACTTAGTGGCTTGTGTAGGAATTTCATTGTGTTAGCTATTTTGATGTTCGTTCTTTTTCTAGCTTCATTATGTAAGTAGCTCGCAAAAACAATTTAGCTTAGCCTATTATTTTTTAGCATGATATCGATTTTATCCCCCGACTAGCACTGCAATTCTCGTGCTCTATTATAGATGTACTGTTAGTTTCTATTGCTATAACAGCGTTACAAAATGTTTTAGTTAAGCTAGCAGACATGATGTTAATATTTGATTCCTGCATTATTTACGACAAGTTTTCCAAATTTTCATTCATACTTGGCTTGAAAGTAGTGAAACTTTTGAATGTGTTAGTATCTGTGTTATCATAGAAGTTCTTCTAGAATCTGATTCTTCGTGTCTGCCAAAACCTCTCGTCTTACCTATACTTCACAATCTGCACACTTGTAAAATCAATGTCCAAACTAATGAATTAGCAGTACAGTAGTACTTTTCTTGTTTAATAATTTGGTTCAACTGGTCAGCATTTGATGATTGTGTATTTGATCCTCGTCTATTGAATTAGCAGTATTATTAGAACAGGCCAGTGGACAGTGGCTACATATCTTTCTCACACGAAACTCCTACGGCGTCTATCATTTAGTTATCTGTTATGGTAAGCCTAAGAACATAATTTGTGACAATCTGCCCAAAGTACACTAGTCTAAAAATATTTTCTAGAAATATCAGGAGGTATATTATGCAGTCCTGACTTAAATGATGAAGTGTTTATTGATTAGGAAAGGTATCTATTAACCTGAAAAACTCAGAACAATTAGCCATTGTTTTATGATAGCTAAATACGGAGAGTATGTTGGGATCAATGAATGAACAATAAATAAAATGATTTAAATTTGGGGATTTTATAAGAGAAGCACTTTTAAATTTTGGACAAAGGCGTCATCAATTGTGCTTTAGTTGTTTTAAGTAGGCTGCCACTTTATATAGTTTTGAGAGAGGACTTTTCTAACTACTTATTCATCTTTCCTAAAAAAAAAAGAAAAAAGTAGGCTGCCACTTTAGTTGTGATATATCAAAGCAATGTCTCAATTCATTTTGCTTGTAGGATAAATTTGTTTCTCTTGATGCAACAAATTCATCAAAGATATCTCTTAGACGACATGCCAAGCTCCTCGTTTACATGTGTGGAACGTGATTTTTTATCCTATTAGCGTCAAAACTTTTAAAAAAGCTCCTCGTATGGGCTTTATAAAAAATAACTCTTTAGACTAAAAAAACTCTTTCAAACAACTCCTAATCAAACACCATAAATAACTATTTTTAAATGATCAAATAACTCTTTTTTGCTTCAAAACCTTCCAACCAAACACCCCCTATATATAAATTGGAATGTGAGAGGAGAGAAATATTTAAAAGTGTGAGTGGGGTATGAGTAGACCTGGCAAATGGGTCGTTCGGGTCGGGTATGGGTCGGGTCGAGTCATTTCGGGTTTTGGGTATGACTCGGGTCAGGTATCAGGTCAAGTTCGGGTCAGGTCAATTTTGGGTCGGGTAAGTTCGGGTCAGACCATTTTCGGATCAAGTATGTTTGAGTCATATTCGAGTTGGGTCAAAATCAGGTCAGGTCATGTTCGAGTTGTTCCATTTGTGGATCAAGCTCAAATCGATAATTTTATATTTTGTTATTGTTATAATAAGAACTATAAATTCGGGTTATGAGCTTGCCTACAGTTGAAGATGAACAATTTGAGTTATTTTTGGTGTTTAGGGTAAAAATACCCTGTCCACGTGGCCCAATCACGTGCTGACACGTGTCGGAGAAAAACCCGAGCAATATTAATTGCAGAATTCTCTTGGCATCCGAGAGAAAAACCCTTACATTTCGCACTTTAATACATCCGGAAACGTTTTAACTTGATCGTCGGAGGCGGAACTCCACCCAACCGGAGTTTCCGTGGTTTTGCAGGTACGGACAGTCGACGCGCATTCTTGGAATCATAATTCTCCCGAGGGGCTCCAAAAACCCCGAAACATTTGGCGCCGTCTGTGGGGAGAGTACTTCCTAGATGGCATCAGAGTCTGTACCGCCTGTTGAAGGCAAACGGCCTATGGCCGAAACTGAGGTCCACACGGACCAAGATAGTGGTGGCGACTTTGAGGTCAACACCTACGTGGTCCCAGACGGGTCATTTAGAACGAGACGCACCCGTTCCAAGGAAACAAGTGAACGGGGCAAAGACAAAGCTGGTCCTAGCAGCCCAACCATCAAGCTGGCTGGGCAACCCCAGGCGGAGGAGGGTGCCGCCCCTGTAAATAGAGACGAACTCATGAAATTCATGACGAGTTTCAAAGGGGAAATCAAGGACCTAATAAACAAGTCAACTAACATCAACAAGGGTCAGTTGGCCAAGAGG